CTTCATGAGTCTTATTTTCCTCTTCCTTTCTCCTCTTCTGCTTCTTCTTCCTCCTCTTTTCTTCCCCCTTCTTCCCCTATTCCTCTTTCTTCCTCTTCTTTACTTCATTCTCCTCCTCTATTCCTTCTTCATCCTTTCCCCATACTCCTCTCCCTCTTCCTTCCTCACCAACTCTTCCTCTTCCTTCTCCTCCTCCCCCTCCCCCTACATTACTGTCTCGGCTCAACAATGCCGCCATCTTGCCCCATGCCTGTCTCCTCATGGGGGGTTATCACCATAATATTCATGAGCAGTTGGCTACCTCTCGCAGGGGAGGGAGGAGTGGTAAAGGAAGGAATGAAGATGGGAGGAGAGGAGGAGGAGGAATAAAGAAGATGTAGAGAGACGAGAAGAAGATAGGGAAAAAGGAAGAAGAAGGAAGCGGGGAGAGAAATGAAGGAAGAGGTGAAGGAAGGAGGAGGAAGGAAGGAAGGAAGGAGAGGGCTACGACCCTAAGTTACATTATTCTGTCAGCGAGTTGTGAGAGGCCCCACACTGCCTCTGACTACCTCTTGTTTTGTAGTGTAGTGTAGTGTAGTGTGGTGTGGTGTAGTGTAGTGTAGTGTAGTGTAGTGTGTGGTGTAGTGTGGTGTAGTGTAGTGTGAGGTGTGGTGTAGTGTGGTGTGGTGTAGTGTAGTGTAGTGTAGTGTAGTGGTAGTAGTGTGGTGTAGTTGTAGTGTAGTGTAGTGTAGTGTGGTGTAGTGTAGTGTAGTGGTCGTAGTGTGGTGTAGTGTAGTGTAGTATAGTGTAATGCGAACTATGTCATGAGAGAAAATTTTAATGCGAAATTTCTTACTTAGTGCGAATTTATTTTAACAGGACCTCTTTAATACGAATTTATTTTAGTTGTTGTTGTTGTTGTTTCTCGTCATCTGGGGGAAAAGTTGTTGTGTCATACGACTTATGAACAAAAACACTGCATGTTGTTATTTATCCACGCCATTCAACTAACAACTAAGGTCATCAATCACATCCTCTACATAAGTCTAACTACCATACATACATACATACATACATACATACATACATACATACATACATACATACATACATACATCTCACCTCACCTCATAGCGTAAAGAACAGACAAACATCCCCTACATCTTTTATTAATCCCCCACTTTGTAAACAGACGAACTCACAGGTAAATCTCCTCCCCCCCTCGGAGATTACCTGGTGTTATGTGATAGGTGTAAATCCCATCTACCTGTATTCTGTACCTGGTAAATCCCGTTAAATTCCCCGGCCCACTGTGAGAGTAATCCTGATGAATGAGGTGGATTTGGGGGAGGGAGGAGGAGGGAGGGAGGAAGAGGAGGGAGGAGGGAGGAAAGAAGGAGGAGGAAGAAAGAGGTGGTATGATAATTTGCGATGGGTATGTTGATTGAAGAGAGAAAAGAGAGAGAGAGAGAGAGAGAGAGAGAGAAGAGAGAGAGAGAGAGACTAATAAAACTGAAAGACAAAGAATATACATACATACATACATACCATACATACATACATACATACATACATACATATTAAAAGAGGGTTCAGTATAGCGATGAAAAACTACTCAAATAAAAAAAAAACCCGATAATGATGAGAAAAAATACAGACAGACAGACACGGTCGAATTATGTGGTGACTTACAGACTGAGGCGGGGAGTGAAAAAAGTGCCGTTGACAGATTATAACACGGGTGACAGTTCTAGCCATATTGCCAGCCATATTAGTGGCCATAGTAGTAGATATAGTGGCCATGGTAAGGTAGTGGCCATTGTAGTAGAGGTAGTAGTTATTTGTGAATATAGTAGCTTATTAGTAATATATTGTATATTAGTAGACATAGTAGCCATATTTAGTAGATATAGTGGCCATAGTAATAGACATAGTGGCCATAGTAATGAACATAGTGGCCATAGTAATAGACATAGTGGCCATAGTATGAACATAGTGGCCATAGTAATAGACATAGTGGCCATAGTACATATAGTGGCCATAGTAATAGATATATGGTAAGGTAGGCCATATTAGTAGACATAGTATTAATAGACATAGTGGCCATAGTAATAGACATAGTGGCCATAGTAACAGTAGCGTCTGTTTCTACCCTCCCTTCATACCTCCTTTTGTCTTCTTTCTCTCACTTTGTCTCCTCTTCTCTCTTCCTCTTCCCACACCCCATCTTCTCTCTCTCCTCCTTCCTTTCTCTTCCTCCCTTCCTCTACTCTCCCACACCGCCACAAGGTCTCACTCGAGGAATTTAATAATCCTGAGGACTCACTCTCTCAACCCAACAACCTAACCCAATCCCAACCTAACCTAACCTAACCTAACCTACCCTAACCTAACCTAACCTTATTTTTCTTCTTTCTTCAAGTAAATATTTTGTTTTATGGTAGTTTTGAGTCGTAGTTTAGGGGGCAGCTGGTCGTAGTCCTGGTCGTGATTTACGTAGGGTCGTATTTTTTGTGTGGGGGGAGGGGGTGGTCATGGATGGTGGTGGAGGGGGGTGGTCATGATGGTGGTGGAGGGGGGTGGGGGGGGTGTGGATGGTGGTGGAGGGGTTGTGTCATGGATGGTGGTGGGGGTTTGGGGTGGGGGTGGATGGTGGTGGAGGGGGTTGTGCTGGATGGTGGTGGAGGGGGTTGTGTGGGGGGGGTATGGATGGTGGTGGAGGGGGTCTGGATGGTGGTGGAGGGGGTCAGTGGTGGAGGGGGTGTCATGGATGGTGGTGGAGGGGGTGGGTCATGGATGGTGGTGGGAGGGGGTGTGATGGTGGTGGGGGGGTTGTGGATGGTGGTGGAGGGGGTGTGTGGATGGTGGTGGAGGGGGGTGGTCATGGATGGTGGTGGAGGGGGTGTCATGGATGGTGGTGGAGGGGGTGTGGATGGTGGGGGGGGTGGTGGGAGGGGTGGGTCATGGATGGTGGGGAGGTGGTGATGGTGGTGGAGGGGTGTCATGATGGTGGTGGAGGGGGTGTGTGTCATGGATGGTGGTGGAGGGGGGGGTGTCATGGATGGTGTGAGGGGGGTGTCATGGATGGTGGGAGGGGGTGGTGCAGGATGGTAGGTTGAAGGGTGTCACAAGGGGTGGTGGCATGTCACGTTGCCAGGAGAGAGTGTTGGTTGGGAAATATGGCGGAAAGTGCCAAGTAAGTGTGCTCGTGAAGTGATGGAAAGTGCCAAGAAAAGGCCACAAGATGTCAGCGATTGTTTAAAAGTGTTAGTGAATCAGCCAATCAGACGCTACCTCTCTTGCCCCTCCCCCCTTCCTCCTAGTGCATACCTGTTGTTCTCTATCATGTATAACCACAAGGTACCAGGCATCTCACGTGTACACCCATTCATAAGCCTTCACCGTGTGAGTTTTTCGCTACTGGTGAACGTCAGGGGGAAGCTGCTAGTGTGTCTCGTCTTTAACCTAACCAAGATAGTTTTTCCCTCACTAATGAATGTATGAGAGAGAGTTGCCAACCGTCTTCATTCACGAATAAACCACGACGAGATAATCTTCCGCCAGGCGTAGATAGTTTTGCGTCACTGATGAATGCAAGAAGGTAAATGCGTGTTGTCTCTGCACATTCATTCATTCATCACAAGATTATCTATAGGGAGGGTTTTCCTTCGTTAATGAATGCATGGCGAGGAGGAAGTCTCCTTGCTTGAACGTGGTATGTGCAGCATTCATTTACGCAGAAGTAGTTTACAAAGGCTATTTCTGTCGTTAATGGATGTAAAAAGATGACTTCCTGTCGTACAGTACAGTCGCCCCCATTCACAAATGAACGGAATCAACGGACTGTCTAACTTCTGTCACTAACGAAATGTAATAAAATTCACCTATTAAATCACTAGAAATTTACCCCAGTTTAATATTCCGTTAACTGATGAATATAAACAGACAGACACAACGAGGAAGAGACAGACAGACAGACAGACAGACAGACATAATCCACCTACCTGTACACGTAACATCTGTCCGTATCATTTGGTCAACCATCAACAGTCATATACTAGTCATTCTATCACTAATGAAACGCAAAACATAAGATCTCAGCTCACATCCATTCGCTAATACACCTCATCCAGATAATTATCCTTCACTAATGAATGCAACACGAGAGGGGGAGGGGGAGGGGGGGACAAGTCTACTGCGCATCACTTTTCGCGCATCCGTTCATAAACAAACCCTCGGGAGCGGTGTCTTATCTGGCCGGCGTCTGTTGACAATATCTCTTTGAGGTACCCCAGCGGTAAGTCAAACAGCGGAAGTGTAAATCAATTCTACCGCCCAAGACGGCCGTGTGTGGCTGACGGACATCACACGAATTCCGTAGGTTTATAATTACCAAGACGAGGCAGGTAGGCCCCCCCCCCACCCCAAGTGGTTATCGAAAATATGGAGGTCGCTCACACGCACTAGCTGTCACTTGTATAACGGTGAGGCGAGTTTTACACTGTTCCGTGACCCCTCGGCCTTATTATTCATTCATTCATGACTCAACCCCTTCACAAGACCATTCATTACCTTCACTTTACCTGTCATATTTCAGGATTGTTATTGCTGATGAGTAAATACACCTTTCTTGTGATCAATTAGCCTGTTTTTGTTGGCAGGTAATTCGTGGCTTTTGATCAATCATACCTGTTGTTGTTATTGTATAGATTTTCTTTCATAATGTTTGAGGCAACAGTTTGTTATTATTAATAGTTGGCTCATGTTGTGGAGAGAATTGTTTCGCTTTGTTTTTCATCGTTCGACTTATTTTTGATATTTTTTTTATATATTTGTTGTTGTTTTTGATAAATTATTTGTGTTATTGTGTTGACTAAGTGTTTCTCATAAGTTAAACATATGCTATGATTGGCTGAAAGCTTAAATAATTTCAGTAGAATGTGAACATATTGTTAGTTGAAAGCTTAGAGGACTATAATCAACTGAAGAAGCTTAATTCTCTCTCTCTCTCTCTCCTCCAGACTGACGATGTCGTCGAAGCGTAAGTCGCTGCCGACGAAGGTACTGGACTCTTATCCCGACCCCAGCGACATGCTGGTGGAGGACGCCCCTCCCCTCGTCTCAACTACGGCTGGGGGCGACTCAGACAACTCCGCGGGAGGGTCAGAGTTTAGTTACGGCGACGAAGGTACAGTAGGGATGTCCCCGGCCAGGTGGTCCGACTCCGAGGTGGTGGTGGCGTCGGCCGGCGAGGCGAAGAGGAGTAGGAGGGAAAGTTCGGCTGATTCAGACGACCTGGCGCAGCATCTCCACCCCTTCGCCAACCCGTTCTTCCAGGCGAGGCTACAGGAGGCGAGGCTACAGCAAGAACACGCCAGGCTACTCCAGGAAGCTGCTGTGGCGAGGCATGAACAACAACAACAGCAGCAACACCAGCAACAACAACAACAACAACAACAACACCAGCATCACCAACAACAACTCCACCATCATCTACAACAACAACACCAACAACAACAACAACAGCAGCAGCAACAACAACAACAGCAACATTTTCAACAACAACAACAACAACAACAACAAGGAAGGAACTCACTGTCCCCGTTGTCTGAGGTCGAGAGAGGAGGACTACTTGCCAACGCCGCCAGGAAGTCGATGGACGATGTGTTGAAGCGCCTCACCTCCAAAATGAGTCATAGTACCATTGAAGACGTCGAGCGAGCTAAACGAGAACGAGAAAGGTAATTAACCCCTGAAATTACACCTAATGACCATAATTACCTGGACTAGTTACATTATAATCATTATCTAGGTATTTACACCCATCGAAAAAAATCCTCAATCATTTATACATTAATAATGAACTTAATATATACGGTTTATATACTTGTGGCTCCTATACCTTCTTCTTCTTCTTCTTCTTCTTCTTCTTCTTCTTCTTCTTCTTTTCCTCCTTTTAAGCTCTTTTTCTATTTTCTTTGTCCTCCCATTCCGTCTCTTCCTCTTTATCTTATTCCCGCTCCTCTTCTTCCTCCATCTTTCTCTTCTTCCTTTTCCTCCTCCTGATCTTCCTTTACCCCTTCTTTCTCTTCTTCCTCCATTTTCCTTTTTTCCTTCGTCCTCCTCCTTCTCTTACCCCAACTTTCTATTTTCCCTCCATTTACCACCTCTTCTTCCTCCTCCTCCTCCTCCTCTCCCCCGCCTCCTCTCCCCGCCTCCTCTCCCCCCGCCTCCTCTCCCCCCCTCCTCTCCCCCGCCTCCTCTCCCCGCCTCCTCCTCCCCCCTCCTCCCCCCACCTCCTCTCCCCCCCTCCTCTCCCCGCCTCCTCTCCCCCACCTCCCTCTCCCTCCCCTTCCCCCCCGCCTCTCCCCCGCCTCCTCTCCCCGCCTCCTCTCCCCCCCGCCTCCTCCCCCCACCACAACTAAACTCGTCCATCGTTCAATACTGGGGAGTTAACTTACCTTGTGTCCTTCACGTCTCCACAGTAGCAAGCCCCCGGAGACCCACGCCACCCCCTCCAGCCCCCCTGTCTCATCCAGCGGTGGTGGTGGGGGACCCCTAGGAGACTCTCTGGCCTCCATGACCCAGCTCCTTAGTGCCGACCCGGAGGCACTACATAGCCAAGAGAAGCGAATCACGGAGATAATCGGTCAACTCCAGAAACTGAGAGATTCTATTCGACAACAACAACCACAAGAGCCCCAGCATGATAAGGTAAGTGTGTTTGTGTCTTTACAGGTGTTTTAAAGTGGTTCCAGTAGGCTTATCCGGGTGTTTTTAAGTGGTCTAGGGGTCTTAAAAGGGGCTCAGAACCATGGTGTCTTTAAGTGGTCTAGGGGTCTTAAAAGGGGCTCAGAACCATGGTGTCTTTAAGTGGTCTAGGGGTCTTAAAAGGGGCTCAGAACCATGGTGTCATTAAGTGGTCATATGTAGTAAGGTGTTATTAAGTGGTCGAATGTGTTCAGGCGTCTTAAAGAGGTGAAGTGTAGGCAGGTGTTTTAAAGTGGTCCATAACCCAGGTGTTTTTAAGTGGTCGAGTATAAGTGGTTGAATCGTAGCTGTTGTCTTAAGTGATCAGATGTTCCCCGGGTGCATTAAGTGATCAAGTGTACCGTAAGCGCCTTAAAGTAATCAAGTGTACCCCAGGTGTGTTTTAAGTGGTCAAGTGTACCCCAGTAGATGGTTCTTTGTCTTCTGCAGATGGCTTTCAAACTCGATACGGTCACAAACAGCTGGTAGTAAGAATGGTTGCCTTGTGTTTACCTGTGCGAGAGACGATACCTTTGATGTAATTACTAAGTGAATACCTGTGTTATTATCTGACTCATTCTTCAGTAAATTAACACAACGGACCCCAATGGTTTTGAGTATGTGTGTGGGGGGGCGTTTGTGGGAATCTTGTTGGGGGCTTTGTGGGACTTTTGTAGAATTTTGTGGGACTTTTTTTAGGGTTTTGTGGGAGCCTTTGTAGGTCTTTTGTGGGACTTTTGTAGGATTTTGTGTGATTTTGTGGATCAGCCTCTCTCTCTCTCTCTCTGTAGTTCGTGTGATAATTTATTAACGCTCGTTCAGTCATACAGGTAAGAGGATAAGACAATAATTTGAGATATTGATTTAGTCTTCAGGTGTTCCTCTGATCTGAAGCGGCGGCGACTCTCTCTCTCTCTCTCTCTCTCTCTCTCTCTCTCTCTCATCTCTTTTTACCACCTCCAACCCTACCCTCCTCCTCCTCCTCTTCTTCTTCTTCTTCCATCTCCTCCTCTTCTTCCTCCTCCTCCTCCTCCTCCTCCTCTTCTTCCTCCTCATCCTCTTCTTCCTCCTCTTCCTCTTCTTCCTCCCTCCCTCCCTCTCTCCTCCTCGCGTCATGGAGGAGGAGAGAGGGAGGACAGGGCTTAGTCTAAAAGGCAAGACAAGACGTAATAGCCCTTCAGGTATAAAGTCCTGCGTCTTCGTGCATTATTCTCTCCATCGCTTGAGAACCAACTCCTCCTCCACTCCTCACTCCTCAATCTTCTTCCTCCTTTCTTCCTCCTCCTCCTCCCCTCCTCCTCCTTCCTCCTCCTCTTCTTCCTCTTGAGTCCTCCTGTGTTTTACTGGAAGTCCATTCTGTTTCTTCTAAAAATGCTTTTTATTTTTTGTCTCATCACCAAAAACAGTTGAATCTTCCTCTTTCCCTTTCTTTCTTTCTTTCTTTCTTTCTTTCTTTTTCTTTCTTTCTTTCTTTCTTTCTTTCTTTCTTTCTTTCTTTCTTTCTTTCTTTCTTTCTTTCTTTCTTTCTTTCTTTCTTTCATTCTTTCTTTTTCTTTCTTTCTTTCTTTCTTTCTTTCTTTCTTTCTTAACAAAAAAGTAATTCTTCTTTTTTGTCTTCATCTCCAAATTCACTCTCTTTAATTCACTCTCTTTAATTCACTCTCTTTTAACACTATCTCCTTATTTATATTATATTTCTTGATCTCTCTCTTTCTTCCTGGAGTGAGGCGGTGGTCGAGTGGATACAGTGCTCGCCTCTTGTTCCAGTAGTCGGTGGTTCGATCCCCCCTTTGCTCCTCCCAGTTCACTCAGCTGTAAAGGGGTACCAAAGTTTAGTACCGGTCATGCTACCTTCCTCTGTACCGGAGGCTTAGTATGCTTTCTTTGTTCTTCGTTACTCTCTCTTCCTTTCTTTTCTTCTCCGGTTATTGCCTCCTTCTCCCCCACCCCTCCACCCCCCTTCCCACTCAACTCTCCCCCACCCCACCTCCCCCCCCTCTCTCTCCCCTCCCCCTGCGGGTAACCATAAGACCCTCTCACCCTTGTTGTCTTTCCCGTTGTTTCGTCCTTGACAAAAACATTTTAATTTATATCGTCAAACTCTATCAAATATGCATCAAAGTCGGCAACTGTTGGAGGTTAATTGAATGACATAGAACGACCCTTGTGTGTGTCTCTCTCTCTCTCTCTCTCTCTCTCTCTCTCTCTCTCTCTCTCTCCGTGTGTCTATTGATGATCAGTACAAGTTCTGTGTTGAATGATAGACGTCTATTACTCTATTAGGTGTGAGGTTCTGTTTCTCTATTATGACGAGTTGGTGAAGAAACATGGCTGGCATTTAAGGTGTTTTAGGGTAATTTTTAGGGTAGTTTTAGGGGAATGTGGGGTAATTTAAGGTAATTTTAGGGTAATTTAAGGTAATTTTATGGATTTTCTTAAGAGAGGAGGTGAGAGGGAGGAAGAGAAGTGAGGGAAGAGGTACAGGGAGGAGGGAGAGGAAGGAGAGGAAGGAGAGGTAGGAGAAGCGATGAGACAAAAGACGTGAGGTGGAGTGTGGGGAGATGAGAGGTGAGGGGTGAGGTGTGAGGTGACGGGTAGGTGAGGGGTGAGGTGACGGGTAGGTGAGGGGTGAGGTGAGGTGGAGTGAGGGTGGTGAGGGTGAATTGAGGTGGTGAGGGTGAGGTGAGAGTGGGTGAGGTGAGGTGAGGGTGGGTGAGGTGGGTGAGGTGAAATTGAGGGTGAGGTGGGAGTTGGGGAGTGGGGCGGGGTGTGAGATGACGGGTAGGTGGGGTGAGGGTGGGGGTGGGTGGGGGTGGGGTGGGCAGGGCACAGGGTGGGGGTGAAGGGTGGGGGGTGAGGGTGGGGGTGAGGTGAGGGGGTGGGTGAGGGTGGGTTGACTCCCTCACCGTATCACCTCGAGAGTGCCAGCTGGGACACTTTCTCTGTCTCTTCCTCATTGTCCTCTCTCTCTCTCTCTCCCTCTCTCTCTCTCTCTCTCTCTCCTCTCTCTCTCTCTCGGGGGGTTAGGTGTGGGGTTATGTGGGAAGGGTTGGGTGTGGAAAGTTCGAACCCGTGTATCCTCTCCATCTAAAATACCTGATCTTCCAAATATTCTCAAAATAACGCAAAAAACAAACACCTACATCCCTCACTTTATTTCTTGAGGGAGGGGGAGGTGGGGACAGGGGGGAGTGTATGAGGGTGGGGGGTTCGGGCAGTAATCGCCATTAGGCGATTGGTAATTCTCTTTGAGGAAGGGGACAAAGGTGATTGAAATGGTTTGCCTTCAGAACAGTTCCAACAATGTTCCCACAACGGTAAACACACAATCCCATTATTAAAATTTCCGTTTGATGCGGTCAGCGGCGGCCAGACCAGCAAATATACAAGATTGAATCGTTTGTGGTAACCAGAGTCAGCCTTGTTTACCCGTACCAAAAAACGCCAGCTATTTACATACAGTGTTTTGTTTGATTAGTTCAGCTGGCTTTGTTTGCCTATGAAATGGATGAAGCAGTGGGAGGGGGTAGCTGTAGTCGTTTGTTTACTCGCTGGATGATAGACTGCCCACACACACACACACACACACACACCAGTAGCCAAATTTGTTAGAATATGAGATGTTGTGCCTAAAAAAATGACCCAAGTTGTAACCAGTGTGTGTGTGTGTGTGTGTGTGTGTGTGTGTGTGAGCAGCAGCAGACGGTGGCTCCTTCGTTCAGGGCGTCTTTGTATATCAATGATGACCGGTTGTCCAGGGGGTCTAGGTCATGTTCCTTCCTCATCACACTCTCTTCCGTAAGTCGTCTGTGTGTGTGTGTGTGTGTGTGTGTGTGTGTGTGTGTGTGTGTGTGTGTGTGTGTGTGTGTGTGTCTGTGTGTGTGTGTGTGTGTGTGTGTGTGTGTGTGTGTAGTTTTATGTGTTCTAGTGCCACACACACGCACACACTATGTATGGCTAAAGTGAGGTTGAGGTCTTGTATATTTTAGCTACGTATGGAACAATAACATTAATAACAGCAAATAACAATAAGCAAATATGACAAGTAAGATTAACAACCACGGAGTAAAATAGAACAGGTAACAAAAACAATGTCATAATTATCACAACCAGTCTACCACAACTACTAACACTACCACCACTACTGCTATTGATATCACCACCATCACAACCACAACTGCTACTAAGACTACGTCACCACCAGCACCACCACCACTATCACTACCAACAACAACCCTCACCACCAACCACCACCAACCACCATCAACCACCACCAACCACCATCAACCACAAACAACCACATAAGAAGATAGAGAGAAAAAAAAAATAGCCTCACCAAAGAGTCTCTCAAAAAGCTCGTCTGAGAATGGAGCTGGATGCAAGCCACCATCTCACAGGAGCATAATTGACAAAACATCTTGGCTCACAAGGCTGGCATACAGGGCCTTGTGGACACCCCGCGTCGCCAGCGCCAGAGGCCAAATCCCCACCCCACCCCCACCCCCAACACCCCCTTGTCCCAGCAGCTTCTCCAAGGCCCCAACAAGACTTTTACGAATTCACGCCGCGGCCAGGCTTTACCACGATGGGTTTTAAGGTGTTCAAGTCCTCCTTCTTCGTCTCCTTCTTCTTCCCCTCTGGCGCTAAGAGTAGGTTTATACACACCACCACCACCACCACCACCACCACCACCACCACCACCGACAACAACGTCTGGATTCTCTTTATGATTTCGTAAGAGTCTCGGTGCTGTTTCGACGCCATTTTTTTTTATTTTGAGGTTTTCTTTTTCCATAGTAAGTGAGAGTTAAAGTGGAAGTTCTCATTAGTGGAAGTGATTTTGAAGTTTTTAGAGGTGTTGAAGTGTTACGTCACGTCCTGGATTCTCAGATACTCTTAAGTTGATGTTTTTTTTTTGGTGGGGGGAGGAGGGCCTTAATTTAGATATCGTATTATAGTGACGT